GTAAGCCTGCTTCAAGTCAGAATGGCAGTCCAAGCAGCACCCAGCGGTCTGTTTTCTCTTTTGCTAGGTAGTCTAGGAACCATAGCTTCAGAAGGCTCCGATATCCCCGGGCATACCAGAGTTACAAAGATGTCCATCCATGTCCATCTGTTAACATTCTATCAACGGTTGCCTAAAGTGTTTGAAGTAGTTAAACCATATCAACCTCCAGTATCAAAGTCATGATTTTGACGAGTTTGATGTAGCATGGTGTGTTTTTTGAACTGCTCCATGATTGGATCAATGATTTCAATTGGCATTACATTTTCCTTTTTGCATATTGTCATAAGTTTTGTAATATATTTGCATATCATTTGCATTGTTTTATGCATGTTGCTTTAACAATATTGTACCTGTTAAGTTTGCTTTCTTTTTCAAGGCACGATATTGTATGTACGGTTCATTTGAGCTGGTGCAACCAGACGAAACTGGACAGGAATTGTATCCTTTGCCGTGAGACGTATTGAGAGTTGCATAATTCCTCTTTACATCCTTTCTGCATTGTAAGTTGTAGTTTTTGGTGTATGCTAGCTTAAAACTGTTGCATTATTATGTTTTCGTTACAGCTTTCTTGCATGAATCATAAGCTATGTCGGCTTTGTGCATTGTCTTGTATTTGCCTGCTTCGGGCGCAGATCTTGTTTGGTCTTGCATGTTTGTCTAAGTCTTTGGCTTTTCAAAAAATGGGTCCCCGTCTCTGGGCTTGACATTCACTCCCGTCATTGTTATACTTTCGAGTTCTGTCAAAGAAATGGGGCCAACTGTAGACACCCCAATTTTTGACCGTCCTCAAGACTTGGACGTCACCGCTTGAAACACTCGGTGATCATCCATGTTTGTGTTTGTCTTGAGTTCCCAGAGATCTCGGCTATGCCGCCTTGCTCAGGATCTTCTCGACTCAACTGTTTTGTGTCTGGTTTGCACCCAAAACACTCGTGCTTTGCCTTGGAGGGCAAGGGAATGGGCTTGTGGGCATCCCCACACTCCACCAAGCCATGGCTTGAGGCACCGCTGTGTTTGTTGCCACCGGCCAAATTCTTGGCCGGCCGGCCGCACTATAGATGGCCGGCTTGGCTATCTTTCTCCGGTCAATTGCATTTTTTGGCCGGCCCGACTACTATGATCTGTTTTTTGCAAGATATTTTTGTGGCAGCTGGCAATACCACTGTCACCCTCCCTTCCATACACGTGGTATGGAGGGATGCCTTTCTTGTTTAGCTTCTTTGGAAGCTTTTACAGAACTAATTGTCTATAAAAGAGAACCTCTTCTCTCTGTTCAGCGTTAAGACAACTTGAACAACATTTTCAGAGCTTGAGCTTTAGGGTTTAGGGTTTACATATATCCTCTATCTCTATATCTTCTCTCTCTTGTGTTTAGTGTGTGTTTAGTCCTTATTTTTGTGCAAACAACAACCCACCATCACACCTTCTTCTTAGTTGCGAGGTACCAGAGGTCTTTTCCTTGAAGCTTTTGGAACTGGTTTGGAACCAAAAGAGCTGTTGGAACATTGTTTGTGAAAAGGCGTCTACAAAGGGTTAAGACTTTTGTCCCTTTTTACCCATTTTTGCAAAGTTTTTTAGGTCTATCTT